CCTTAACAGCAACCCAGTTGTTGCAAGAGCATCCGCAGCTGCGATGCCCCCATCTTGTGGTTCTCTCAAGCAGGGTTTGTGTTCTAGTCATCATGAGCGATTGAAGCAAGCTGGCTTCAACCAGACACCAGCAAGCTGCAAAAAGGACGGTGGCAGAAGTCGGCAACATGAGTTGATCACCATTACAGCCCAAACTTAGGCAGGAGGACTTCATTGCAACTTTAGCGCTTCATAAATCTTAGGGTTCACCTAACTCATTAAGGGAGCTGACAGTTAAACTTGGATCAACCAAATTCATAGAGAAGGGAGTCTTCCCAAGCACGCGCTCGCAGCCAAGAATGAGCCAAGCCATAGCATGGGGAGGAACTCGGAGTCATTCACGGCGCCTCTGCACTCTGAAGATCTTTGGCTCATCGGAGATATTACAACTCCCCATTGAGGTCACAACAAAGGTCGCAGAGATTCGTCAGCATCTGGCTTTCAAGGTGGCAATTTCCCAAAGTATTGGGACCCCAATATAGACCCCGAAATATTTAGATGGGATCCCTCCCCAAAAAAGATAACCGAATTCTGGGAACCCTAAACCCTTAAACCGAGATATCCCCTTTAAAGGTACCCCTAATTTTGGGGAACGTCCAGGTGGGTGTGGACCCGGAGAGCTTGACCTTCGTCGTCAAGGCTGCCTCGAGCACTCGTATCCTTCGGGACTCAGATGAGATCCCATCACAGGCAGCCTGCGTTCCAATGGGGCAGAAACAGGGTTTAGGGTTTAGAGAGGGTTTAGGGTGGAGGATTTGGGGTTTAGGATTTAGTGTTTAGGGTTTAGTATTTAGAGTTTAGAGCTCTGTGAGGCATCGCATCAGCCACCATGGCGCATTTACAGCTGAATAAGTGTAGTCCCCCTTAAGTAGATAGAATATGGCTTATAGTAAGATCCCCATGTATCCTATACTTTATCTACTTAAGGGGGCCTATAACCCTAAACCCTAAACCCCATATTCTATCTACTTGAGGAGGACTACATGCCCAGGAGCTATTTTCTGCTGTTCACAGACTTTAAGTATGTACCCTTAATGTTTGTAACCCTAGGTTTGGGGTCCCAAACTCCCTTATGAAGGCACCATATTCCATAGTTTAGAGGCCCAAATCCAAGTGTACAAACCCTAAGGGTGCAAAGGAAAACCCCCTGTGCTGTAGGTGACTGTCCGCGGCCTCCAGAGCTGGCAGAAGCAGCGTGCGGTGTACCCCCATCCGCATCCGGGTTGCTGTTAAGGAACTTAAACTAAGTTACCGTAATAGGGTTACATACTACATGACTACATGTGTTAGGTTTCCTTATTACGATGACCCTTAAACTAGGTTACCGTAATCTGGGCATATACTAATTTAACTGGGGTTTCCTTATTCTAGTAACGTACTTTGAGCTGCAGCCAATGTAGTATGCAGTTTCTTTTCCATTGTCCCTATATAACCCTATAGAAGCCTACATAGACCCCTATACAACCCATTATGGTAGTTTTCCTTCTCTTTTCCGTTCCCTGAATTCTGCCCCTAAACACTAAATCCTGAACCTTNNCCCTAAACCCCAAACCCTACTAATTTGTTTAAAGCTGCAACCCAGGCATTGCATCATTGGAGCTGGCCATGGAGGCCTACGTCAGGGCCTTGCCTTCCTGAAGGAGCTGTTACGCAGCGCTTGCGCGCTTAACCTTTAGGG